CAGCCCCTCACTGCACCTCACGCTGCAGACGGCTTGTCACAAACCCGGGGGATGACGAGAAGCTAAGAGTGTCAGTCCAGTGGCTGGCTGTCCTGGGAAGTGTGACACAGCAGGAGGCGCCTCGCGGTGCTCACCAGGCCTGTTGCAGGAGGACACTATGCCACCGGCTTGTCACAGCATGGCCCTTTCTGGCTTAATTTTCAAATCACCCCAGGGTCACCACAGTGTATTTAAATTCTGCACTTGCATGGCCTTCTTGTGTTATCAAAATACCTGGAAGCAGTAAGTACCTGCCTCCCTGCAGGGGCAGCCCCCCACGCCCACTCCCTCCCCCTGGGGAGCCCGCTGCTCTCCCCACGCTTTTTTTTTCCTTTTAGTTTCAGGTGTACAAAACGACGCAATAGTTATGCTTTGCACCCCTCACAAAGTGACAACCCCTCCACACACACTGTTAATCTCGCCCGGCTTTGCTCTTTCCAGCTTTATTGTATTTTTGATGGGAGGAGCAGAAACCATACATTTGTTACTTGTGAAAAGGAGAGGCCCAGATGGGAAAAATTAAATTGCTTTGACATGTAAAAAAATATTTAATTGACTTTAAAGTATTTACCTTTCTTTAATTGCCATCTATTTCGAAATACTGAACAACCCCAAACAATAACACTTCTCGATAAAACTGCTCTAAGTTTTACGGTTTCAGAGCAGGTGCCGGTGAGAACAACATCAAGGTGAGAAAATGTGTAGCTTGGCTTCCCCTTAAGAACACCTTTACTTTGCCTTTATTCTTAGCTTCAGGGGAGCGAGGCACAGTGCGTCCTCAGAGCTGCGGTATTCCCACACGGCAAGAGCCGCTCCGGCTTCGGTCCAAAGCGTTTCGGGTCCACATTCTTAGGTCAAGTATGTTTCTCAGCATAAACGCACCTGGGAGCTGAGAAGACTGCTGTCTGGATCCCGACAGGGTGGGTGTGAGTGAGCTCTGACGCCCGAGATGAAGCTGGCATCCCATGCGGACACTGGGTGGGAAGGATGGACAAGCCGTGGGCTGCGTGCTAATGTCACAGCCACATCTGTCCCCAAACCGTGCCCTGTGGACTGGGTGTCCTCTCAGGTCATTTCCATTCAGGACTTCGTAGTCACGGAGCGAGCAGACACCGACGGGTTCACTTCTAGGACTGAAGCTAAGCAGCAACTCTAAAACTGGCTGCTTTCTAGTCGAAACTACTGAGAATCTTCTTGTGATAACAACTTGACCTTGCACTGATGCCATAAAATGTCAACGCGTTTCGGAGGTTACACTTGCTATGAAAATTGCAGCTGTGTTATCCTTTCATTGGTGAAGCAGCACTGTTTTGCTGCTAAACGTGAGTACACAGTGGCATTTGCAGCAGCCGCAGGACACTATGCAATTAATTCACCCCATCTCTTAATTGCTACTTTCCCGTCTCTCTCCACACTCTTAAGAGCTTCTCTGTCCCCATCGGGTCCCAACACACATACTCTTAGTCAGTCCAATGGCCCAGTGGAGTTTCAGTAACTAATTTTATTCAAATAGCTAAGGGTTCCTTACTGTGGCTTTCAGAAGATGGGTAGAAATGAGCGTCCACTGAACAGAGTAGGCCCCTCGAGACACAGCTCAGTGCCCGTCAGTGCGCCCTGGCTTCGCCTGAACGTCCCAGGCGCCACTGAGCACGCGCAGGACTGCTGTTTGGCTCGCTGGCTCGTCCCCAAGTGGCTGGAAGGGAGGCTCCGGGCACGTCCCCACGTGGGAGGACCTGCCAGCCCCACAGGACGTCACGCGTGGCCTGGCGGGAACCCCGTGGGTGAGAGGGACCCCGCTGCCCTCAGAGCCACGCTGGGGCGATTTTCAGAATCTTCAGCCTCCAGGTTCCTGAAATAAGGAGTCAGACACCTTCACGTTGATTGAGTTTAATTTTTAAAGAGCGCCGTGCTCACAAGATGAGAATGTTGAATAAGGTTTTATTTTAAATAATAATTAGGGCTTCCTCATAAAAGAACTGTTTGAAGGAGTTTCAAGCCTGCTTAATTTTAGGCTGTCTCAGAAATAGAGACAAATTTCATCATTTTGTTTTCAAAAGTATAGATCTGTCATTCCAGGCACCTTAAGGAAGCAATTTTCTTTAAAAGATGATGGAGCCTTTTTTTCCTTCTATCATGTTTCTCTTCAAAAAGTATCCTGTTTCAAAGAACAGATGAATATTTTATGTGCACTTTTAAAATCTTCTATTTTTAATATTAAGAACTGATATTTTGTTTTCCTTTAGATAGCATCCGCTGGAGGTGTGTGTGTGTGTTTTACAGAAAGTCACAGCTTTAGAAACCTGGCGTGGGGCCGCGAGCTCCTGTGACTCCCGTGGGGCCTGAGGCGCAGGGATCCGCTCTGGGTGGACACGGGGCGGACACGGGGCGCTCTCCGCGCCTTCTGCTCTCGGGGCTCGGGCGTCAGCTTCCAGGGCAGGGAAGCCCCAGGCCCACGGCCACCCACCCCGCGCGGCTTCGCTGGTGACCGGGCGCCAGGCCCGCGCGACACCCCTCCGCCCTCCGCGCGCCGCCCATGCGCGGCCAGGAACCCGTGCTCCTCGTGTTTCCCCGGAAACGCTCCTTTCCGAAGGGAAACACGGCAGACGCGCCCGTGAGCGCGAAAATGTGATCGAAACCAAAACACAGCGTGTGACAGAAAACGCGCGGCCTGGCCTGGCCCCTCGGGAGGGACCTCGCAGCTTCCTGGGGCTCCACTCGCATTCGCGGCAATGAGGCGGCGGGGGTGGGCGCGGCGCGCGGAGGGCTGGTCCACGCGCGAGAGGCGACAGCTGCTCTGCGCTGGAGTGGGTCACGGAGACGAGCGGGCGGACACGAAGGGGATTTGAGGAGGAAACGCGGACAGAGCGGCGCCGGGAGCTCGCAGCGGCCCCAGCGCGCCAGCGCCTGTGCGCAGCTGTGTATGTGCACATTTAAAGTGAAGTCATACTCTTAAAGTTTTTTTCTGAAAAAACGTATGCATGCTTATTATATTATTATATAATATTTAGAAAATATAGGAAAATATAGGACATCAATCGCTTTTAGTACCACCATCCAGATGTAACCGCAGTTAAGGTTTTTGTTCTTGTATGCGTGTGCACACGTGTGTGGGTGGGTGTGCACATGTGTGTGGGTGTGTGCATACGTGTATGGGTGGGTGTGCACACGTGTACTTAGGATTACAGAGCTTTGGTTTCTGTTTCATTTGCTTTTTTTTTTTTAAAGATTTTTATTGAGGAATTGGGGGAATGGGAACAGACAAGTTGCTGTCCTTTTGTTCTTCAGTCTAGTTGTGGAGGACGTTGCTTCACTGGCCCAAGTTGGCACCATCATTGCGCTCTTCCCG